GTACTCCCTCCTCCAGGTGCTTTGCTGCTTGACCAGCCATTGTCACCAGTGAAAGGCAGCAGGTAACATCCTTTGAGGCCAATCTAGGTGCCTTTTTGTGGCGCTGGCAGGAGACACCCCAAGAATGGCTTTGGCTCTTCCTTTCCTCTTTTCTTTCAGTCTGCGAGACAAATGTGGAATGTTTTGAGTCAGTGAAACCTCTGCCATCATAGCAGCCCCAGCTTCAGGGAGCGCCTGAGGAGTTTAGAGGGAGATGTCTTCATCCTCTTAACTGAAAAGCCTGCTCACTCATTCATCGGCCAATTCTATCTTTCCAAAACTCATCTATTATTGCTCAGAGCCTGTAAAGAGGTAGGCAGCGCAGGGGCCTTCTCTTTACTGTAATGTCTGAAAAGCAGGCCTTTCTACTGGCCACAAAGGACAACAAACTGCTACTTGAGGACTAATTTAGGAGGTGCTGGGTAGCTCATCTGCTGAAGGCATAACACTATGAAATAGTATTTTATTGGCAGCTACCCGAGACAAAGAAAAACCAGACCGAGAGCTAAAGCTATTAACAAAACACTTGAAGTCCTGCTTCAAAACCAGTGGAACACATAACAACCAAGCAAAACCAAAGCTCTGCATCCATAAACTTTGTTTTTTCCTAGGATTTTCTCTTTAAGAACCAGAGCAAACCAGCTGGATCAAGACATCACTCAGAACAACTCAAAGAGCTGGAAACAGCATCTTACCTTTTCATCTGTAGGCAAAATGCCAAGAGGGGAGAACAAGTGTAAAGAGAATGCGAGGCAGGTGTCTCCAATCTCACTCACACAGACATGGGCCCTTTGATGGTGAACCTGACAGACACATTATTGCAGACTCTGGTTTTCAGCAGGAAAAACAGCTAAATGCTGCAGGGCAATTAAACAGAAGGTCTGCTTCAAAGTGTACGGGGCATTTCTCTAAGCTGCCCAGCTGTCTTGTTGGTATGACACAGGGTGCAGCCAGAGCACATGGGTTGCCTCAACTCTGCACTGGCTGAGATGTCAAGCTAACATGCTGTGTCACTGGGAAGCTTACATTAATAATGCAGATAAATACCTCTACTGCACTGTTGTCAGAGGAGGTCTGAGCTGTTTGCCAAACTAAAACAGTGCATGGACAAGTTTTGGTACCTGGGACTAATCCAACACTGTTGTGCTGGTCCCAGCCATCTCTTAACCACTTGTTTCCATGCCCTGATCTATCTTTAGCCTCAGAAACCTCTTCCTATCTCCTTCATTTGTCATACCTTACAGAAACCATAAAATTCATGCAGCTAGATAACACAACAGCATCCCTAGTTCTCCTCAGTGCTCAGGTTCATCAATGTCTGAGCCCCAAAGTAAACTCCACCCTCTCCTCTGTCAGGTGGAAATACAAAAGTAGTTCATGCTAGCCCCAGTCTTGTTGGTGTAGGTGACAGCAATGTTCTCACACTGCTAATGCACCTTTTCTGCAAAGGATGAAATTCTGCCCCAAAACATATACCAGGCAGAAAGAAGTTTGGCCTTATAAAGTGACACCTTTCCTAAATTGCTCTAAAACAGACACACATGTTACAAGTCTAGAATTCATCCTCTTCTTAGGGTTCCTATATTAATAAGGGAAATAGCTGAAGTACTTACCAAGTTAAGCTGCCCCTGTAGCTCTTCACAACACCAGATCTGCAACCTCCTTACTCCACCCACTGCCTTGCACTTCCTTTATATACCCTCAGGATTACGAGCCACCTGCCTCTGACAAGAAAAGGTGTAAAGCAAAGATAAGGCCTTAGAGCTACCCAGGGTGCAGGCTTAGGGCTGATGAGCGAGTTGCAGTGCTGTCTCTCAGCTGCTATTTCTGATCTGTTTTGGGTTAGCAGTGCATGGTCACAATCCTGTAAGGATTTTTTTTTTTGGCATTTTGGGTAACTTTCTCTGTAAGCAGTTGCTTTCTCTGGACTCATGGATAAAATTGCTATTACTCTGCTCTCTGCTCGTAATCCTGCAAGGCAGCCATGGACTGAGCAGGTACACAGAAACCCAGGCATGTTTACCCTATAAATACAGTTATGCCTCATTGGTGGGGAAACAGGCTCTGAAACTGCCCCTACTGTATTTGCTTTGTATTTGACAAAGCAGGAACATCTGATAATCTACATTAATTCATATACATGACTTAAAACGTGATACATGACAGTCCTAGCTTTAACTTTTCACATATGTTCTTCATATCACAGCCAAGAGGAACAAAACCCTTGAACCAAGAAATAGAGAATGCAGTTTGCATGCTGAAGGGCTGAACCAAGCTGGACCCAAGCACGTACTCTGGGCCAGATTTCCCTTTGGCTCTGATAAGCTCAGACTTTGGCAGGAGTGCATAAAGATTTCCTGGACTCCAAACAATCCCAAGCTGCAGCAATAGACAAAGTATACATGCATCTACATGGGTGTTATGCATATGTGCATGTGTGGCAGGGATGATCGACAATAAACCCAGCTTTGTGTGCCAGGCTCCCTGTAAATAAGAAGCCACAGGGTGATGGATGGGCTTGGGAAGGCCTGAAGCAGAATGGATGGGGTAGACTCTATGGTAGCTGACATGCAGAGAGCTGCGCTGGAGCCAGGAGGATGGCATTGTGCAGATAAATGAGATTTTACTTCCCTGCTGGGTCTCTTTCCATCTGTTTTTCTGTTTCTGGAGGCAAATGCTGGGGAGCTTCATATATAATCTGCCAAGAGACTTTCCCATTTCAAAGGGATCTCTCACAGCTTTCTAGGGTTTCCAAAAGCAGACAGGTAATCTTATATGCACTCTTCTATTTTCCTCTCTGAGGCAAAAGTACTAACATTTTTGTTCTCTCCAACATTTATTGCACGCTCACTTTGTAAAGAATATTTTTTTTTGCTGCTGGCCCAGACGTTCTTGGGACAACACAGCAGCAGAGTCCTGTGGTCACAGATCTCCAGTCCTTTTGGGTCCCTTTCAGAGCTGCCCTCCTCCTTTCTTAGGTTTCCTGTATCCATCCACCTTTCCTCCCTACCTTGCCTTTCATAGGTATCTGACTCCGCACTTTCTTTGTCCCTCCTGACTGTGTTTGGTGTGAGAGATTTCCATTCTGCAGATATTTAGGCTAGGCTACTTGAATCCTGCAACCACCCTTTGAAACATCAGCTTTTCTTTTGCTTGTGTTGTTTGCTCTCACTTTCTGCCATCACCAAACAGCGTTCCACTGTGGAAAGGGCCAAATTCCCTAATAAACTAATTGCACCAGTGGCATAAGACAGGACACAAGGATTCAGGTTTGCAGGGGGTTGACCAGAAGCTGTAGTTGCCCCTGTACCTCCATAAAGCATCTTCCTGGGGCAATTCGTATCCAGTGGCCACTTGAAATGTGACTCTCTCAACATTAGTTGAAGGGCTGGAACTGGGACTCTGTTTTTGCTGACCCACTGGCCCAGGCAATCCCTTCCACTCACCGGTCAGCTCTGCTTTCCTAAGCACTGAGGACAAAAGTGGCTCATTCACACAGCACAGTCCAGGTAACACCCTCTCCTGCAGCCCAGACTTGTAAGCTGTCAGTTTTGTACTTGTCACTAAGTCACTACTAAGCTCCAGCACCCTGCCTCTGATGAACACTGGACACCTTGCAAATCCTTCAAGTCGCTACGTGCCTCTCTCCTGCACCCACAGCTGTGCCACCCTTCCTCCTGTG